CCCCACCCCCATCGCCTAACCCATCCCCTTCACCTATGCTTCGGCAGGCGAAAGGGAAAGTGACAACGCGCCCACATAACACTTTAGTGCCACATTTTGGCGAGCCAAATTAGAGACCAGGCAAAAAGGAGATGACGTGGAAGGAGGACCTGTGTCGTGGACACAGAAGGGGTGGGCAAGAGGAGAGAATGCAAAGACCATATGGCGTTTGTTGAGGAAGTCATTCGTCCACCTACTCTTCGCCATCGTACCTGGATGGACACCTCCCACCATCACCACCATCAGGTGGAACAATTGTTGTTGTTCTGTAGGTTAGCGAGTCAAGTGTTGTAGAGACCGCTGTACAGCAATACCACTCCTAACCGTCGTAAACCATCCAAGGATGGTTCAGTTGTGTTGAAAACTTTTTTTTGTCATGGCTATGCAAGTGGAGAAGGAAAAATGAATGCTCGGTGAAGCTTCGCGGCCTCATTTTGATCCCAGTGGACCTAAAACCCGCGAATTCTTTCTTTGGAGCCATTTTAACTCGCCTTTTGGCCTTATTATTGCAACACTTGCCAAGTAAATTGAGATTATCTTTCAAGCAAAGAGGAATGCCTGTAAAGTGGCAGTTGTGGGGCGATCTCCAAGGTTGGACAAAGTTCTACCGCAAACAAAGTTATAATGACACTTTACTGTCATTGATTGTTGGGATTTGGGCCTCCCTTTGCTAAACTTCTTTTAAGCTTGCTATCTGGCAGGCGCGCAACCTTTTGTCTACTTTGTTTAATGTTGTGTTTTTGCTTGCCACAGACAATCCTCAATTCAATGCACAAATACCAACCCCGGTTCTACTTGATTAAGGCGAAGGATGTGATTCGGCTTCCCTACTCCTCTTTTCACTCCTTCTCATTTCCTGAAACCGTCTTTATTGCCGTCACTGCCTACCAAAACGAGATGGTAATCATTGCCTCATACTACTTATCTCATCAAGGCATTACAAATTTGGGTTGTTTTGGACAAGCCTGCATAGTAAAAAAGAACATTGACCATTTGTGGATGATTGCATGTAAAGATTCGCAGTTGTGATAACTTTGTGCCAATTTAGCGGTAGACCTTCCCATTTAGACCGATGCAACGTAGACTGAAAGGATGATACTACCTTCTTATAAGTAGTATAATGGATTTGTTTTTTGAGTATAATATTTTAGGGCCTTGGGATCGGTCGACCACCTCACTAAAACTACCCTCTTTGCTTTCAGATAACTCAGTTAAAGATTGACCACAACCCCTTCGCAAAAGGCTTTCGGGACACTGGTGGCGGGAGGCGAGAAAAGAAGTAAGATTTTCACACAGACACCCAACATAGTGTTGTCCATGGCAATGGCAACTCAAATCTTCGTCTTGTCGCATACTCAAATTCACATTTTTGCTAAACTGAGGCAGACTGCATTCAACTTTTAACAGCTCTTAGTTCCCTAAGTTGAAGTAATTCGTGCGAGTGTGGAACCCGAGAGTGCTCGCACTCCAACACAGAGTTTAACAAACTATCAAAATTGTGCAAACGCCTCCTGCTATGTCTGCATAATAAGCTCAGTGATGGAAATTAATTATGGCTAATCCTTCATGTGACCTTTCAATGTCTGCGAGTCTGATGCGAGACAATACATCCAGATTTTGTCAGTAAAAGTGGATTTTTCATTTATCAAAGCTAAGTGATTCTGAATCGTGTGTCCGTGGAAGGGTAAAGACCCGACAATGACAATAAGGTCTAACATCTGCCTTACTAGTAGCAGTTTATCCGTGCATAACAGCGTCAACGACGGTATCTTGCTAATGCTTCTCGATAAAGTGGTCTGAGGATCAAATCGGATCCATCGGGACCAGGCTAACCTACCTCTATGTACATAAACGAGCATCCATTTCGACTCAAATGCTCCTTGGACAAGATCCCACACAACGACGACTTCCCAGCGTTAACCACTCACTCTCGTTGGCTTTTAGACGGCAGATTGGAAAGGCGCGTCTGCATACTCCACCGTGTGGCTTCTATCGCAACACCGCCGACAAGGTGGAGAGCATTACACGTAGCACTAACAGCTGCTGTTCAGACTCCGAGATGGACGAATTGGGCAGATCATGCAAGGCGGATGTCAGGTCACCCAGCACCAATGTCCTGACTACACCGCCTTTGCGATATGGTAAGGTTGATAAGTCGTGGCGAAAACGTGCCAAATGTTGGAAGAAGCGATGGGCACAATGGTGTTTTAAGTCCACGATGAAGGCGTTGCTTAAAGTGGATAGTTTCATCCAAGTGTTAACCTAAAAAGGCGATGGATGGATGGATGGATGGATGGATGCTAGGCATAGGAGACTTAAAGTACAATCACCAGTGGGCAAGATATGTGAACCAGCCGTATTTGTAATGCTAAAGAGAGTTTGTAAGGGAGTTCTTTAAAGCCTGGCTTTCCTCCACTTGTGGCCATTGTTGCGATCTAACAATCACAAGAATGCGATTTTTTAGCCTCCCATCGCCACAATGTAAGTGTTTTGATTCACCTGAGACGTAATAATCAGACAGATGTTGACTGGAAGAGGGTCTGTGGCCTCAAGACGGGAATTAGACTGCATCACACATCGACAACAACTATTCATTCCTTTCAGTGGTTGAGAGGGTACTATCATTTGACATTTGGTGAGCCTTAGGATTGCATCAAACTCCAAAGTCGAGTTAAAGCCTTAAAAATTAACCCACTAATTATTTCATTGCGTTTACCAAACTCGTCTACGGCACATACTGCACGAAATGATGATGTCGAGGCCGGAGTAAAGCCATATGGACATGATTAAACAGAGTAACATGTGCTCACATAAATGTGTATATAAGCGCGTGTGTTTATGTGTACGGAATGAAACTGCCTGACAGATTGGCAATGCGGTTATCGGTGGAAAAACCCACACCCACACACGCACAAACACAAAACCAGAGACCTAGCAGCTAATCCTCTAGTAGGCAGTAGGATAAGGTCAAATACAGGGATGGTAACGAAAAAGGAAACTGTAATTTGCCCACTGTTCCTACTTCTTGTCATCACTTGAACACATTGCTGTACGCAGTGACGCATAAATTGAAAGGCTGTGGAATCGCCTGTATGAGACGGAGCTCTTTGTAGGCTATTGCTTCCTGTGATCAAGTCTATCCAATGGCTTGGCAATGGATCTCACAACGACCAATGTGTAGATGTATAACAAATGGGTTTATGTGAAAAAGTGTCTTATAAATACTTGCCACCCTGTCCTGTTAGGCTACCCTTAACGGATCAACCGACTCGAGAATTAATTCGATAAGTTGAGTGTTTTTTTGTTGAAGGTTAGGAAAGTCTTGGTGCAGGTTCTTTTCTTCCATCTAGGCTTCCGCGAGTCTCAAAACAATGCATACCTTCAATCACCAAAGTGTGCTTTGCCGAATCCCTCCTATGGAAAGAAAAGGGCGCGTTTTGAAAACGCGAGCGTTGCCTCACTGTCTCCACCACCACCACTACCATCACTACCACAATGGACAACATCAAGTAGCTCTGTTCACGGAATAGTTAATCTCTTCAGAAGCATTTGTCCATGGCTTGACAACCCCTACAATATGGCGTACATTCCCATTCCTCCGCCCCATATTGTCATTTCTTCACTCTCTAGAGAGGTGCCATCGTCAGAAGGAGGAAAGGAAGATAGCGATCAGGAAGAAGTGCTAATAGAGCGGACATCACCAATTAGTCCGCATTCGATGACCGAAAAGCCG